TGGGGGTTGAGTAAAAAGGTTCTTTATTTAGAGATACAAACAATTTTGCTGGGTAACATTTTATTAACCATCACATTTTTTTCCAAAATATCCAAGAAGATATGAACGACTGGTAAGAATACTTCAGAGGGAAGTTGTAGAGCTTGAAAATATCTTCAATGAGACCTTATTTGTATCCATTTGCTGCAGCTGTTAATTTTTTTTAAACTCCAAATTTCAATTTATTTTTTAACAAAAAGTGCTAGTAGTCCCGCAATTATAAAATAGTAGCCAAAACTAAAATAATGTTTGGTAAATAATCAACATCCAGGAAAAATCGTCAAACAGCCATAACATTTTCAAAAACTGCCACTAACTTTTTTATGGTCAATGGTCATTTTTACGACGCTTTCTAGCGACGGAGCAGCTGCAGCACATTGGATACATGAGGTCTCATTTTAAAGGCCTTTTCACTCTCTACGACTCTTCTGTAGACCGTTTAGACCAATATTTCATAGTTTTTCGAATATATACGAAAACGGGATTTTTCCAATTTAATGTTCAATAAAAATTAACTCGGTAAACTTTTTTGTATTCTCAGACGGCAGATCGATTTATTTACCCTTAAGGATATAATTCCGATCTAAAATCTATCTATAAAATTCTTTCCAAGTTTTTGGCTCGTTAGCCTGATCTATAAGTATTTATTTTAGAATACTGGCGATAATTGTAAATTGCGTATTTCTCTAATTGTTAGTTATAGCCATCCATAAGCATATATATATATACAGGGTGTCCCAGAAGTCGACGTCAAGCCGAAACCGGGTGATAGGCAAAGTCATAACAGCTATCAGAAAAATATTTAAAAAAATTTTATGTATGTGTTTTGAAAATTATAGGTCTTTGAAAAAGATATAGAAATTTCACACCCTACGGCAGTCTGTCAACTCCTGTTACTACAAATATTAACTTTTTTTGGATTTTATTTTTACAATGTAATGATGAATAATGCATCTTCAAACTGGTGTCTCAACCTTACTGCCAACTTTTCTTGTTCAAGAAAAATTGCCACTTATTTCCCAACCAAGTATTCCAAAGTAAAACTTTGCTCAACTTTAACTGGCTGTACTGGAAAAAATGTACTACGAGAGTTTGGCAAGTAACCTTAAAAGTTGGCACATTTAATAACGATTCCAAAATGGTATAACACTTACTTACTTAAAAAAACTGATGAATATTTTTCAAAATTTCCTAATTAAACAGCGATTATGAAAACGCACAAGGACCCTTAAGGATAACTGTTTGCACAACAGTGGGCGTCAAAATGCTGCTGATGATGATTTACCTTTACAGCACATGCTCAAACTGTTTTCCTTCAGCCGCAATACACGCTTGACATCTTCTTAAAAAAGATCGAGTTATTAAACGAGCGAATCCACGGTTATTAACAAACTCAGCTGCTTCCAATAGTCTTTGCCGTAGCTCAGCTACATTTTGAATCGGCTTGAAATACACTTCTTCTTTTACAGTTCCCCAGTAAAAAAAATCTAACGGATTCAAATCTGGTGACCGGGCTGGCCACGGTATTGTACCAGAGCGCCCTATCCATCTGCCTGGAAAGTTTTGATCGAGATACTCTCTCACTGAGAGTGCATAGTGCGCTGGGCAGCCATCATGCTGAAACCACATGTCCCTGTAAATACTCAGTGGCACGTCCTCCAATAAATTTTCTAAATGATTTTGCAAAAAACCTAAATAAACCGCAGCAGTCAAAGTCTCTGGGAACTCAAACGGACCGATTTATTTTACCATTTAAAATTCCTGTCCAATGGTTTATCTTGAAGCGATATTGAGATTTATCTTCTCTCATCAAATGTGGGTTTGCTACGTGCCACTCGTGTAAGTTATGCAGGTTCATGTACCCATCTTTCTTAAATGTGGTCTCATCTGACCATACAATTTTTTCAAAGAACCGTGGATCTTCCCTGTGTCTTTCTAACATTGTGCGACAAAAAGCAACTCGAGGCTCATAATCCCGGGGCAGAAGAGCTTGAACACGCTGTACGTGGTATGGATGGAGCACGTTTTTTTGCAAGATTCTATGGGCTGTACTTTTGGGCACACCTGTTTTTAGTTCTATTGCACGCACTGAAGTACTCGGGTCTTCTTCGGCAGCTCCTAGCACCACGTCTTCGTAAGAAAGGAAAGATCTTCCCTCGCCGTGTCATTGGTTTGGTAGTTGGCCCTCTGAGAACAGTAAGCGGTGCACATTTGTGAACACTCGATGATCTGGATGACGAGCTGCATTCGGGTACCTCTCACAGTAAAGTCTCGATGCAGCACTAGCGTTGCATCTGCATTGCCCATAAATGAGGTGCATGTTAGCATATTCTTGTACGGTGTACACGGACATAGCGGCACTGCACAATCACACTATCAAAGATAGTCTAAGGAAAGCAAATGTTGTTTTGAAGAGCAATTAAACAGTCCAAATCCAAATCACAAGCGATCAAGGAGTACTGATCGGTATCAAAGTGTGCAATAGCAAGTAAGTGATGTGCTCCATCCATACCACATACAGCGTGTTCAACCTCTCCTGCCCCGGGATTATGAGCCCCGAGTTGCTTTTTGTCGCACAATGTTAGAAAGACACAGAAAAGATCCACAGTTCTTTGAAAAAAATGTATGGTCGGATGAGACCACATTTAAGAAAGATGGGTACATGAACCTGCATAACTTACACGAGTGGCACGTAGCAAACCCACATTTGATGAGAGAAGATAAATCTCAATATCGCTTCAAGATAAACCATTGGACAGGAATTTTAAATGGTAAAATAATCGGTCCGTTTGAGTTCCCAGAGACTTTGACTGCTGAAGTTTATTTGGATTTTTTGAAGAATCATGTACAAAATTTATTGGTGGACGTGCCACTGAGTATTTACAGGGACATGTGGTTTCAGCATGATGGCTGCCCAGCGCACTATGCACTCTCAGTGAGAGAGTATCTCGATCAAAACTTTCCAGGCAGATGGATAAGGCGGTCTGGTACAATACCGTGGCCAGCCCGATCACCTGATTGGAATCCTTTAGATTTTTTTACTGGGGAACTGTAAAAGAAAAAGTGTATTTCAAGCCGATTCAAAATGTATCTGAGCTACGGCAAAGGCTATTGGAAGCAGCTGAGTTTGTTAATAACCGTCGATTCGCTCGTTTAATAACCCGATCTTTTTTAAGAAGATGTCGAGCGTGTATTGCGGCTGAAGGAAAACAGTTTGAGCATTTGCTGTAAAGGTAAATCATCAGCAGCATTTTGACGCCCACTGTTGTGCAAACAGTTATCCTTAAGGGTCCTTGTGCGTTTTCATAATCGCTGTTTAATTAGGAAATTTTGAAAAATTTTCATCAGTTTTTTTTTAAAATAAAAATTGTGCATAAGTTAACGAGTAATCTTCTAAGTGTTATACCATTTTGGAATCGTTATTAAATGCGCCAACTTTTAAGGTTACTTGCCAAACTCTCGTAGTACATTTTTTTCCAGTACAGCCAGTTAAAGTTGAGCAAAGTTTTACTTTGGAATACTTGGTTGGGAAATAAGTGGCAATTTTTCCTGAACGAGAAAAGTTGGCAGTAAGGTTGAGACACCAGTTTGAAGATGCATTATTCATCATTACATTGTAAAAATTAAATCCAAAAAAAGTTAATATTTGTAGTAACCTGAGTTGACAGACTGCCGTAGGGTGTGAAATTTCTATATCTTTTTCAAAGACCTATAATTTTCAAAACACATACATAAAATTTTTTTAAATATTTTTCTGATAGCTGTTATGACTTTGCCTATCACCCGGTTTCGGCTTGACGTCGACTTCTGGGACACCCTGTATATACAAAGGATGTCCTAGAAGTTGGGACCTTTCTTTTCATAATCAACTACTTTTGCAATACCAAAGCTAATTTCTGGTAAAAAAACACCGAAAACGTAAAAAAGAAATTAGAGAAAAATACTCACTATTAATTTGGTAAGGAAATAAACTACTGTCCATTTTTTTTGTAAACACTGCTTCAAGTTGTCGCTGATCGATTCAACACGAGTTTGTTTACCTCGTCCTGAATTTGCAACGTTTGGTGCTGTCTAGGTGTTCAACCGAGTTCAACCATACGGCTTTTGCACGAAATAAACAAACACATGCAGCTCTGATGGAAAGAAACATCGATGACGGCGGTAACGTTCTGAGTACACTCGCGGAGTATCAATAGGATGCACATACGAGAGCGGTCCGATAAGTAGTTAGCCTCACCGTCCAATGACGCAACTATTGTAAGAGAAAAAAAGCAACATCGGTCGATGATTAAGTAAGGTGACTCTTCTCCTTCGATAGCGACCGTCAAAAATCCACGAACTCGTATTAGCAGACCGCCGATTGAAGGTGCTCGACTATGACGAATTATTGGGCCTAATTGCAGAAAAAAGGCTCCATTTGGCGAAGAAAAAGGTGCTCTTCCACCATGACAACGCACTTGGCTCACACTTCCGTCATCGGCACGGCCAAATTGGTCGAATTAAGCTCCGAACAGCTACGCGCGCTTCCACTCGCGATCAAACAAAACTACGAGTCCAATTGGCACGGGTATTACGTATCTCAAGAAGTGAGATTTCGTCGGTTTTTTTGACATTTCGTAGGCTTTTCGACAAGATGTTAACTCAGCACAAGCACTTTGTATACTTGTGAACTCGTTTTGTAGCTGTGCGTGTTGCTTAAACGTCTGCGAACAGCGATCATAGCGAGCAAACGTGGAATGAGCTATTTGCACACGTTGTTTATTTCTTCACGTCTTTTTAGGTGTTTTACATAATAGCCCTGCCGGCTGAAATTTTGACAGTAGCCGACTACAATAATGTACTAAACGACACTAAATTTCTCTTACAATAGTTGCGCCATTGGGCGGTGAGGTTAAGTACGTATCGGACCGCCCTAGTATGTGAGTCAGTATCCCGATCGGTCGTCGCGCGGTGTTTAGGTTAACCTTATAAACAAACCGAATTTGAAAAACTGAAATTTTCACATTCCTAGGTAGTGATATGAGCATCTTCAAGATCCTATTGATACTCCGCGAGTGTACTCAGAACTTCGCCGTCGTCTTCGATGTTTCTTTCCATCAAAGCTGAAGACCTAAACAGCCCCAAACGTTGCAAATTCAGGACAAGGGGAACAATTCGAGTTTTTAAATTGAACAGCGACAACTTGAGGCAGTGTTTACAAAAAAAAACATGACAGGGAACTTTATTTCCTTATCAAATGAATAGCGAGTATTTTTCTTCAATTTCTTTTTTACGTTCTCTGTATTTTTTACCGCAAATTAGCTTTAGTATTGAAAATTTTTGCATACTTTTTCGAAATAAGTGCAGAAAGGCTTAAATTGTTTATAAAAGGTATTTAGTAAATACTGTATAGAAGTAAGTAGTGGTAGTAGAAATAAGTAATGATTTTTCCTGCGAATACTTTTAAATGATATATAAAATTGTAATAACATTCATAAAAATTAAATAAAAATATCGTAACACTGGGATTCTATACTACGCCACACTGAATCGACGCATCCGAGTAATACAGGAATAAATAATTTGTTTCCATTTCTTCTGATTAAATTGAGACATATTTTTGGTACATGTAAGACGTTTCAAATCACTTAACTTGGAACTGCCTTTCAGTTGGGACGGTGCAAGAAGGTAGGTTGAGTACATAAGTCATCGGTGCAGGGAGGTAAGAGGTTGAAAGGAAGCGAACGGTGCTGTATTTCATTTCAACGACTAGACCAGGCACTGAGCGCGTCTCTGCTTTCTCACTTATTCACGTAACGAACGGTTCATCAGCCTTCAGACACGGAGGAGAGACTGCTCCGCGTCGAACCTAATCCCAATTGACTGCAAGTGTCCGTGCTGAGGTCGGGGAGGTCAGATGGCAGTACCAGGGGCTGGACAGGACCAAATACGCGCTCCTGCTCTTGCAACTGTTGAGCGAACGTTTCTTCCAACTTCTGAAACATCAAAATTCCAAGTGGTATTTATTAACCCTGTAAGACACCTTGTAGCCATATGTCTACAACGATCTTTTAGGTATCTTCTAACGTTTTCTATCCCTTGTACACTCTATTGCTCGATGTAGACATGTGGAAACAGCCTCAAGTTAGGCGCAGTTACCATCCGCCATCTATTAGCGAAATCGAGAAATAATTTTTTAATATGTCAACCGGCAGCTGTTCAGTTCGTTTCGCCGGCGTCGTTGCACTGGCGTGTTTGAGAGATAATTAGGTAGGTAAATTTTCATAAAATACATTAGTATGATATAATATTGGTTGTACATGTCCAAAACACATAATACATGGTAAGATTATCCAAAGTAGCATAGGAGAGTATAGAAAATGAAGTTTGAAAACGATTGTAGCCATATGTCAACATTGAACCTTCATGGTTGAGCCAATGTAAGATACTGTTTTATCCATTTTTGTTTCGTTGCAGCTTGAAAAATGGATCCTTTCGAAAATCTAAAAACCATTTCGGCGAGGTGTTTTTACAAAAAGAAGACAGACTTTATACCTGTATTGCCGGCTAATCTAGAAATATCCGATATTTCAGATAAAAGTGATTCCGATAATGAAAATTTGGAAGATGATGTGTTACGCCTCGGAAGTAATGATGCAGATGATGTAAATCCGTTGCCTTGCTCAAGTAGGTCTACAGTTGAAGTTATTCAGAATAACAGTAGCTCCTCGGATGAGTCAGATGACGAAGAAATAAAACCAATAGCTTCTAAAAGAAGGAAGAAGAGCAATCGAAGGATCCAAAAGGCTGATGTCGTATATAATTGGGTAGAGGAAGATTTACCTAATTTTGAAAAACCTACGTCAGATGTAAACTTTGGAGATGATAATTATCATTATCCATTACAGTACTTTTTAGAGTTTTTCTCATATGAATGCATTGAACTGATAGTGAAGGAATCAAATTTGTATTGTACTCAAATGACTGGGAAAAGTCTAGATACAGATAACAAAGAAGTTACTAATTTTATTGCTATCCTTATCTACATGGGCGTCATTTCTCTTCCTAGTTACAAAGATTATTGGTCGGCTACTCTAAGAATTGAATCTATAGCGAATGTTATGTCACTAAGGAGATTCAAACAATTACGCAGATATATACACTTCAATGATAATTCTTTAGTTGGCAGTTCTCAAGATAGGTTTTATAAAATTAGACCGCTCTTGGACATAGTCAACAGAAACTGCTCTAAGTTTGAGATAGAAAATCGTTTCTCCATTGATGAGACAATGGTACCGTACAAAGGTACACGGGCAGGTAACCTTCGTCAATATATGAAAAACAAACCACACAAATGGGGTTACAAATTCTTCATGAGAGCTGGTGTATCGGGATTGATTTACTCTTTTATTCCATATCAAGGGAAAAATACTTTTTCTTTATTAGATGGCACTGCCATGCAGTTAGCAGAAAATGAACTGGCTATGGGAGTTGGTAGTAGCGTAGTTATTGCTCTCACTAAAACCATCCAAAACCCAGCTCACAGCATTGTGTACTTTGACAATTATTTTTCGAGTGTGAACTTATTTTTATATCTAAAGCACAGATTCAACATTTATAGCTTAGGAACTCTTCGGAACAATAGACTAAATGGCTGCCAGCTGATATCTGATAAGGAATTGCTAAAAAAAGGCAGAGGAAAGTATGACTACAAGTCCACAAACAGGGAATGCATAATTGTCAAATGGGCTGACAATAAATGTGTTTTGATTGGAAGTACAATTCATGGTGTATCCCCTGAAAATACGCTTCGTCGATATTGCAAAGAAAAAAAAGGTAAAACGAATATACCTGGTCCATCCATTATTATGGAGTACAACAGGCATATGGGAGGTGTTGATAAGTCAAATTCGCTGGTCGGGCTTTACAGAACTCCTGGTCGTGCTAAGCGGTGGTACTTCCCGATTTTCGCCTATATCATCGACATGTGTATAGTCAACGCATGGTTACTATACAAAGAGAACAATAAAAATGAAAAGAAGTGTATGCCCCTAAAAGAATTTAGATGTGATATTGCAAAGGGCTTGTCCACCACTGGGAAACTGAAACCTGGAAGGCCGGTATCATCACCTAAGTCCAATTCAATAATAATACACCCAGTCGTTCCAAGACCTTCAGATGTTACCAGAAAGGATACTGTTGGTCATTGGCCAGTTCATACGACAAAGGGAAGATGCCGAATGTGCACTACGGGATTTTCTCGAATAATGTGCCGAAAATGTATGTGTCGGCTATGCCTAAATGATAAAAATAATTGTTTTGTTCATTTTCATCTGTGAGATAGATTCCTTTATGTTATAATTTTCACATTTGTCTCACCTTGTATATTTTTTATACGGAATATATTGTTTTTCGTTTTTGATGGAAATACTTTGATTTTTTTTGTAATAAAATATTATTGCAATTTTTAATGTGTTTTGTTACAATTATATTTTTAATCCGCTTATAGACCGTAACGGTCAATGTTGACATTTGGCAACAATTGCAAAGTACACTTTCTAATAACAATGACTTCAATATATGGATCTAAACTTGTTCCTACAGTGATTTTTTATAGCCAGTGAAAATTTACGAATTTTAACTTAAAAAATAATAGGAGTGAACCTTACAGGGTTAAACGGCACTTTTCAAAAAGGTCCCCTAATCATTTTTTAAACGTGTCAAGTTAGCAAGTTAAAATACAGGGCGATGAAATTGATGGACCCACCATAAATTTTGCAGGCGATTGGTGTACCATAAATTTAGCAGACGATTATTTGAGTAAGTATAAGACAAAAAGTTCGCAAATTCTTCGTTCTCAAGATACAGGGTGTTAGAATAAAAAAAAATGTTTTTGGTAACTAATTGGAATATCACTCACCTAATTTTGTTGTAATTTGCCGATGGTATTTGTAACATTAAGGAGTTAATTTAGTCCTAACTTGATTTAAATTTATTAAGGGTGGATTTCACCAGGATTGTAAAATCAACAGTCCGTTGTTCTCCACCTATAGGGTAAACAGTCCCGTCAAATACAGCGAATAATCTTCAAGTTCCAATTAACAAATTTTAGTAACCAATAGCTATGAAATGTTGAAAACAAAATACTGACAAAGTATGAGATGGCAACTTATTGAATATTAAGAAATTACATACACCTTAGGAAAAACCATTGTTATACATGGGAAATCATTTCTTGGCAACAGCGCATCGGCTCGTCTACTTTCATCGCTATTCGTACATATTTCCTACCGTTAACGCGCGTGCCATTGTCAAGTGCGATAAGGGATTCATGACTCACTCTGCGATTGGGTTTTGTGTAGGAAATCTGCGTCTTTACTTAATCCAAAATATCTTAAAAATGTACTCGCAAGAAGAAAAGTTTCAAATGATAGAATGGTACATCCAGAATAATTCAGCACGCGCGGTTGTTGAATTATTTGCGGTACACTTCCCAGATCGGCCAATTCCGTCTCACGCAACGGATATAAATACCTACGAAAAATTCAAGAGGGTGGGCTGCTTAGAAATATTTTGCATCGCAACGGCTATCATAGCTTCAAGGTTGGAACGGTTCAAGAAATATTTCCTTTAGACAAATACCGTCGAATGGAGTTTTGTGAAACGGTCATGGAGAAGGCGAACAGGGATGGAAGTTTTATTGGTAACATTTTGTTTACTGATGAATCTAAATTCCCTCTCCACGGTCATCACAATCCTTCAGTCGTTCGGTATTGGTCTCGGGAAAATAAACACCTCAGTATTCCCGTCCGCACGCAGTATCCACAGAAACTGAATGTGTGGGCAGGAATTCTAGGTAATAACATTATCGGACCGTTCTTTATTGATGGAACTCTTACGGCTGCAAAATATTTGGCGTTACTACAGACGCAGATTGTTCCTGCAATTAGGCAGCTTGGCATTGATCTCGCTAATATTTGGCTCCAACAAGATGGATGCCCGGCGCATAATGCGGCGATCGTACACACTTACCTTGAAAGTGTGTTCGGCCACCGGATTATTCGCGGTAACGGAACAATAAAATGGCCTCCTAGATCACCCGATCTAGCGCCCAATGATTTTTTCTTGTGGGGTTATGTGAAAAGTACTGTTTACACTTTCAATGAGAGAGCAGACAATTTGCATAACCTACAGGTGAAAATCGTTGAAGCGCTCGGGCAAATACAGCCTTCTACCCTCTTGAGAGTTCGTCAGGAGTTTTATAACCGCCTGACATACTGTTCATTGAATGAAGGAGACGTTTTTGAGCCCCAGCTGTGAAGGACCATTTGAAACATTTGTGTTCATTATTGCGTTTTATTTTTGAGAACTTATTTTTTTGTTGTGAATATCTTTTTATTTTCGTTACACATTTTTAAGAGTGTACTATTTTTTGTTAGAGTGGGTATCTTCTTATTTTCGTTATGAGACGCAACCTTTATTGCTACAAAACCAATTATCCATTCATAAAAATAAGTAGAGTGATTTAGGTGATTTCGTGAAATCTCGAAATCACCGAAATCGGTTCACAGGACGTCCAATCGAACTGGTGCGTAATGCGCGCATCTACTGTACTTCTTCTATCGACTCAACGCATACTGAAATTTGCAGCAGACCGCAGACCTGTATCACGAATGAGAATAATAGGCAGATACGCTGTGATGCCAATTTGAGTAGAGCTTCCCGAATTGTGGGAAATTTAGAGTTAAGTGTTGATTCATTCAAGCTTTTAATCAGCATGGCCTAGACGTTAGAACTTCATAAAGATAACATTGAAGCTGAATGCTGCTGGAGTATAGTGTTTCGAATATTCAAAGCGGAGCGGGATACTATCCTCGTTCAATGGGTCATCAAGCCACAGTCTTTTCAACAAAGAAATTATTTTACGAAAATGCGTTATATTTTTACGATTTTGTCGTCACCAAATCTCTGTTTCTCAAAATGTACGTCTATTGTA